ATCATCAATAAAGATATTAAACAAGACCGGCCCCAGTACTGAGCCCTGGGGAACACCGCTCGTGACCGGCCGCCAACTGGATGTAACTCCATTCACCACAACTCTCTGGGCCCGGCCATCCAGCCAGTTTTTGACCCAGCGCAGAGTACACCTGTCTAAGCCATGAGCCGCCAGCTTCTCGAGGAGAATGCTGTGGGACACGGTGTCAAAGGCCTTGCTGAAGTCCAGGTAGACCACATCCACAGCCTTTCCCTCATCCACTAGGCGGGTAACCTGGTCATAGAAGGAGATCAGGTTGGTCAAGCAGGACCTGCCTTTCATGAATCCGTGCTGGCTAGGCCAGATCCCCTGGTTGTCCCGCTCATGCCTTGTGAGCGCCCTCAAGATGAACGGCTCCATAATCTTCCCCGGCTAGGAGTCACTCACTCATGAGTGAGTCCAGCTTGTCACTTGGCTGCCATATGTACCATGGGATGCCAGCCCTGTTACACTGTGGAGTTGTTTAAGAACGCTTCTCCGGGCAGGGAGGAGGAAGGTGCTGTGGGGGCCTCCTCCGTTATCAGCACTGCTACAATAAATCCCTCAACTGCTGCCATATGCAAAGAGCTAGAGCAGGACTCATGTATGGTTTGCAACCCAGCTACAGCTCCCAGTGTAGGATGAATTAGGAATTTCAAATTTCCAGGCCTTGGTGAGACTGGAGAGTGGTATGCGATAATACATTTAACCAGCAGAGGTGCATTCACAGACTGTGGCTACTTCTCAAGGTGGGAACAGAGTCTGGCCTTAATCAGTGCACTCTCCTTTGGAGAATTACTTTACATCAAGCTCTTTCATTTTCCTGAGATAGAACCCCCCCCCAAGCTTCATGCAAAATTCCACTCGTGATTTGTTGCAGCCCATGTCCTTTGAATCCAAGTCCTCTTTTTCTGTTATTTTAGGCACAGCTTTCATGCTAGAAAGCATCCTGTTTGTGTCTAGTACTATGCATAATTAATACAGGTAGAACAAGTTTTAATGCAAAGTATATTTCAGCTCATAAGCATTACAGAATTGGTGGACCTCCACAATTTTTAATGCATTTGGTTTTCCTCAGTGGGACATTCTGGTGTTCTTTACTCAATGACTCACCAGTGGCCCTATCAGTGTTACACAATGGAAACAAGCACTGACTTCCAAAACCAGTAGTATTTGATGCTAGGAGTAGATTAAGCTCATTTAGAAGTCTTTAGAAAAAAAAAAAAACTCAAAACATTTCAAGAACTGGAATTTGAAATAAGCTGCAAATAAAATTCAGGATATGATTTAAAGGTTCATCTGGAGAAAAACCCATGCAAAATTATTAGAAGAGAGGCATCTTTAACTTTGGGGGTTTTGACTGTTTTAAGGCAACAAGCTTCCTATCCATTCATAAAAGATGTTTGACTTGCTAAGCTTCAGCTTTGATGTTCCACAAAGCAATATGAAATACTTGCACGTAAAATTTTTTGGACTAAACGAAAGGTGCAAGCACTTTTGAAATCATTAAGACAACCAGCAAACAGATTTTCTATAAATGTATTTTTCCAGCTGAGACAAATATGATATGTGTGACAGCATAAACATTTTAAGAAACAGTACATGGCTAAAACCCGCCTGCCAGACAAAGGAAGTCAAAGAGTTTGCCTTAGGGGTTTAAGAATACCAGATTATTCAAGTACTGATAAATTACAAAAAAATAAGAAAAAAAAGACATGATGATGGACTAAGACCTTCCTGCCTGGAAACTATTAGGCAATGCTTCTTAAAAAATAAAAATCATTTGATTGTCTAGATTTGAAACAAAAGTATTCTCTAATACAATGGCTGAGTATCAATGACAGGGATTCTGACTATCAACAAGATACTGTCTTAGGAAATGTAATGCTTGCACCATTTTCCTAAAAATGTGAGCATCTAAGTGAGCAAGTAGTAAAATCAACCAAATAATTTTAGTTTACAAAATGTTGCACAACATCTATATTCTTTAAGATTTATCTATATTCTTTAAGATAGATATATCTTCTTTAAGAATGTATTCTTAAGACCGTACAGATATTTGTGTCTTTAAGATTAACTGTTCTCCTTAAGGGCAACTATAAAATCCTTCTTACCAAATCTAACAGAAGTCACAATAAGCCAGACTTGCAAATTAGCGATGTCTTGACTGAATGTGTGAAATGGGAATACCTGCATGCAGGATGACTACCCCCTTCAATAAGATTTTAAAGATTCTTTCTTTCTTCAACAGTAAGGTGCATTATTCCATCTCTCTGTGTCTGATACTGACATCTAGTCTGGTGGCACAACAGCAGTTACTTTATTTCTTTCTGCATTGAGAAAATTCAGAATTGAATTTTCTTTGAATATAATGTTACTATCTACTTTCCAATTACTAGCCATGTAATGAACATCATCATAGCTCATGCTTTTGATTAGAAAGAAAAAGTTTATTAAATCTATCATCATAAAATGGAATTCTACATCACTGAAACATTTACATTACTGAAAGAGGAAACTTACCAAAGTAAGATTAAGCTTATTTCTTTCTACCAAGTAAACTGAAGATGAATAATGAAGATGTTTTTTCAGAATTTCCATTAACCAATAAAGAGCAATCCAGAAAAAAGGGAATCCACTCTTGCTGAAGAAAGGATGTGATAACCAACAGGGTTCCTCTACTCCTGAATTCTTTGACTATTAAAAAAAAAAAAAGGGGGTGAGGGATAAAGAGTAATTTTCATTTTCATTCACTACTGCTTGGAATTTGGTTCAAATTGAAATCCATAGAAATGGCTTAATATTTAATGAGACTTTTAGACCACAAAAATATGATGTAAGGGATTCAGTGGTCTTCACTGACTCTCTGTGTAGGGACAAATGTCACAACAGATGTGCTCCTGACCCCTTAAAATGAAAAATGACATGCTAAATTACTACCTAGTGGAAACTGAATCAAAACAGATACTAAACTATCCAAAGAGAAAAAAAAAGACAAAGTGTATTACCTGAAAATTCAGCAAATAACTATATTTATCATTAAGGAAACAACCCTGCTAACAGCAGTTTTTGGAGAAAGCCCAATTTTCCCCTAAAAATAATTTCAACAGACCAGCTATTAGACTATTGTTTACACGAATGACAGACTATGAAGTTCTTCCAACACAGAAGGTTAGACTTGTGGATATAAAACTGGCAAAACATACTCGTGGTAAAAATAGAGCTATGACTTCAGAAGGGACCGCAAGAAAGAAAAAAAAAATAATCAAGCAATCTTTAGAAAACTGTTGATTGAAACCCTTATTAATATGGAGAGAAAAATAAAATTCATATGTATTTCAAAACAGAAGAATGATCAAAGTTCCAGAAAACAAAGTAGATGTGAGAGAATTATTCACATGAGTAGGAAATAGTTTATTGGAGTCTATCCTAAAATTTGCTGAGATTGTAATCTGTCTTGTTACCTGGCATCTCTGTTGGTAAGGAACTACCCAGTATTTAATGATAGTGGCACTGTTACTGTTGAATTACCAAAAACTATAGAGTAGTTCTGCTATGGTAGAACTACTATAGCTACGATGTAGAACTATGATTGTAATTCTTTAGCTGATTTTGTACATTTTCAAAAAATCTATTCCTGACCTAGTTAGGTTTATAACCAGACATGAGACTTATTTTATACACAGGAAAATGAGACAAGGTAAAAGGTTTGATCTTGAAAGTTTCTATCACACATCTCACCTGAAGATTAAACAGCTTTGTCCAGTAAGCACCTTGTACGCAGAACTAACAGTTTTATGCCTAGAACACTTGTAGGATCAGGGCCATGCAAAAGTCAGTCTCTTTATAATATACACAATATATATGAAAATTTCAAGTTTTAAGGAATATCTGCCATCATTTCAGAGACAGCCTTGAAGAAGACACTATAATTTCAATACTCTTTTGTACTATGTATCATTAATAAGTCATCCTACTAAAATGGGACTGGAAAGAACAGATTTTCCTTGAGAGGGTATTGAATGACATATGTTTCCATGTTACAACAGAGTAAGCTACATATTCAATGCAAAATACTGAAAATTTAACTGTTTGCTCAAGTTAATAATGAAGTTATAATAAAGAACGTTTTGCTTATCTCTCAAGTTTGGAATTGTCTGATTTCACCATGAAGTTTATATAAAATACCCCAACTGATCACTTACAACTAGGACAGACTTTTTTCATATCTTGCTTGCATCACAAAATCGTTTTTACCTTTGTTATTACTTTGGAGAATTTTAAAACCTAGTATTGCTTCCATGAAGTCAACAGGAATTTTGCACTGAATTGGTAGTAGGAGGACCGTTCTCCATGGCTCACTCATCTCCGCTATTAGAATTAGTGATTGGGCTATCTTTTATTTTGCACTAAAATTTTCCTTATGGCAAAAGTATATTAAGTTATATTGAAATATAGGAAAGAAGGAAAAAAAATGATACTGACAAACAAAAGCAACAAAAGAAAGGAATATATTTTATAGAAAGGTATAAAACAACACAGATGAAATGAAAGCAATCTGTGATCAGTTATAAAATTAGAATTTTTCTCATGAACCAGATTCCCCTCTAATGCAAATTAACAGGTTGCTCAGTGTGCAAAAATATTCAAAGCCCACTGTCAGTTCATCTGCATTCAGACTTATTTTAAAACCATCCTGTAATTGCCCTTTATAGACACACATATCAAAATAAATCTCTTACCAAGGTAATGCTTCTGTTTTAGGTAATCATATCTTTTTTATACACTAACTTACTAAACTTACAACAATGTTTAATTTAAAATATGAACTACAGAGGAGTATTTTAAAGGTTTGTGATATTTATGATTTCTAGATGAGGTAAAACGCTTTATTGCCAGAGCAGCTGTCAGAGCCAAACCTCAGCTCTCAGCAGAATGGTCTGTAATAACCACCTATTAGCAGCGGTGTCAAGAGGTGAGCGCTCCCGACACAGCTTCCTAGACGGTGCTCTGTCCCATGCCAGCCTACAAGAGGAAAATGAAAAAAACGATATTTTCCTGTTGGCTGACCCTTTCCTCCCACAGCTTCCTATCTGAGTAAAATTTTGACACCAAAGGTTTTAAAAAAATAAAGAGGGGTGGTGCCAAGGAAGGAAGGAAGGAAGGAAGGAAGGAAGGGTGGTCTGTGCCAGCACACTTCTGCTTACCTTTACAGACTTTGGAGGCTGCTGATATCCCGACTCCTGTGGTATCTCACTGAAGATCTTTACCGAGGACTTAACAAATCCCACAGATACTTTGAGTCCTAGGGCAGCAAGTAGGCAAATCCTTTCTGTTACCTACACAGACAACACACACCAACGCAAAAGCCCGCACCACATATATGGGGAACAGTCCCATTTATACGCAAGGCTCTTCATGACCCCTGTGGCAGGGGAAGCATCCAGCACCCCTCCAGCACCGGACCAGACCCATGAACAAAGAGCAAGCAAGAATCAGCAAAAAACATGCAGAAACATCATATGCCTCAGGCTCCTTTTCAGAGACTTCAACCCACCTCGTCCCCCTTCACGATACAGCTTCAGGCCAGCTCGGCCCTCGCCTTACTGTCATCTCCCGCTCTTTTCCCTCCCTTTAGACCCCTCCAAAAGAGTCGGCGGCTCTGCAGACGTTTTCTGGCTACCGCAGACCCCAAGAGACAACCCCAACCGACATGAAACCTAAATGACTCGACGACTCCCCTCAGCCCCTCCCGCCCTCGCCCTCAGGCTGCTCCCCAGCGGGTGTCCCGCAGGCCAGGCTCCTCCCGCTCCCCGACCGCCGCCCTCGCCCCCTTCCCGCCGTGCCCACCCTAGCGGTCCCTGACAACCCACGGGGAAGTCGTTTTAGGGACCTCAACGCTGCCAGGCCGCGCCGCGCGAAACCTGCCGGCGAGGGAACACCGAAAAAGAGAGGGGGGAACGCGGGAGGGAGGCTCCCCGCTCCGGGCCCGCTCTGCCGCAGCGTACGGCCAGGGAGCTGCCGCCCCCTGAGGGGAGGAGGCAGCACGGCGGTGGCCGGGGACCTTGT